CGGGCCCGGGCCGGCCGCGTTTCCGGGCTGTGCCGGGCCCGGCCCCCCCTTCCCTCCCCCACGCGCGTTTCCGCGGCCCCTTTCTGCCCGCGCGCGTTCCGCCCCCGCGCCGCTTCCCCTGGCAGCTCCTCGCGCCCACGCGTGACATGCGTCGTGTCGCAGCCGCATTTCCGAGGGTTTTTCCTTCCCCCCGTGCGTTTTCCCTGTGTTGTGGGGTGGGGGGCCGGCGGGGGATGAACGTGTTTTGACCCTTAACTGCTGTGATCTCCCCCCGTGTTACGGCTGCCGTTGGTGGGGGGGAGGGGAGGCGAGGGAGCCCCCGAAGGGTCACTTGGGTGAGGGGCGGCTGGGCCCGGCCTCCTGCAGGGGGCCCGTCCCCCCCCCGGCACTTCTGCTGATCTGAATTGGCCCCTTTGCCCCTTTTCTGTGCCACATTTTTGGTAGCTGGAGAGAACTTAATCCTCCTCCACACTCGGTGCTGCCCCTGGTATCTGGCTTTGGACAGCTAACAGCTTTCCCAGGAGGAAGGGCAGGCTGCACAGCTTTTCCTTCAGAAACTCCCTGGTTTTACTCCTGGTTAGTTGCTCCTTCCCTCCCTGCAGACTTCTCAACCAAACAAGCAAACAGAAGCCCCTGCCCAGCTCCTTTTCAGGTATGGGTTTTGGTCTGGATGTTGGGGGGGGGGGGGGGGAAAAGGGCCCGCTTGTTTTTTTAAATTGCACCCGTTGCACTGGAGAACTGCTTGCCCTGAAATGGGAGGTTAAGCGCTTGGAGGCTTTTGAGTAGATTAAAAATATTGAGGAGAACTAGGGCTGACTGCTATATTCAGATTTGTTTTTTATGTAACTGGTGCTGCAGGTGAAGCAGATGGCCTGAAATTGGGTTTGAGATTTTTAGAGGCGTTTGGTTATAGATAATCCCACTTGGGCTTGAGATTTTAGAGATGTTGCATCATAGAAATCCCACATTTTGCTTTTTGGGATGTGCATCTCTGACTTGAGATGCACACAGTAGCTGTGCCTTCTAGATTTTGAAAAGGTCAATACAGACTTTAGTGGGGTTTTTTCCTTGACTTGAAGTTAGACATGCAATGCAGAGAAGCTTGTAAAAGGTCACTTGGATGTGAAAGATGAAAATCTAAGTTTTATTAATGCATAACTGTTTAAGTAACTTTTTCCCACAGTAAGAATCATGGGTTACAGTATCCTTAATAAGAAGAATACAGTTAATCTTTGGGTATCTGTCCTGTGCAGGTGAGCCCTGAACAAAACCCTACTGAAAGTAATGGGGCCTAGCCAGGTGTAGGGTATTTGCCTGGCATAGTTTGCAGAAGCAGGGTTTAGACAGAATTATGACTAGAAAGTATTTCAGCTGTGACTTCTCTCTGGTTTAAAGGTGTGGGATTTTCATTGCCTGTGTAATGCACAAAGCAGTGAATATAATGTATCTGCTGATAGTAATAAGGCAATACCTTCAAAACAGTCTGAAATAGTTCATATATAGTTCACTTCCAGTGATAACTGGAGAACCCAGCTGTCCTTTTTTGTTACCCACTCTTGCTTTCATTTCTCCCTAAATCTTGACTCTCTAAAAATATGATTGTTGTTTACAATAGAAATGTTAGGAGTTTAGAGGTTTTTGTGTCTACATTGTTTAAAGTTGATGCATTTACAGTGAAATCGTGCAGTTTTCTCTTAAATGGATCGAAATGAAAAATGCTTACTTTTTGAAAATTAATACAGGTTGGTAAAAGAAAACTGAGTCCAGTGTTCTAACTTAGTCTCATCTATTTCAACTATTCTAATAAAACTAGGCTCAGTTTAGTGTATTTAAACAGGCCAACATGGAAAGCATACCTTTTTGAGATGGAAAATAAATGATGCATTCAGGAAAAATGCTAAACTGGAGGACTATTCAATTAATTCACTATATTAAGTTCTGTTATACAAATACTTTTTTTTTCTTGTTTTTAGTCTTTGTTGAGAATGTTGAAAACCCATGGATGTGTCATATACCCACCTTCTGCTTGAGAACAGCAAAAGAATAAACCTTTTTTTAAAAGCATACAGCTAATACGTCTAAGATTTAAAATCCACATGGTTTTATCCAGAAAAGGGCTCTCTAGGGAAATGTTGTTTGTATCTTAGTTTGTGGAGTTACTGAATAAATACTAAGTATTATTTGTGTGGTACATCATAAAAATATTTGTATTCATTTGTTTTATTACCATAGTTAACCATAGTTCTCTTTTCTTCTCTCTACACCAAAGCTTCTTTACATTTATTAATTAAAGATGTTTACATTAGAATTGAATCTCAAGTGCTTCATTGTATGCATTTTGCACTTGCACCTTTCCACATCAAACTCCTGGTATGTGATTAGTGACATAATCTCACACCACTTGATTCAGTGGCACTTTGGTCCTTCTGTAAACCAGCTTCTCTCCCTAGGACTTTAAATGTATTATAAATATTTGCTGTCTTTAAAAACATGGTGTAAAATGCATTTGGCCAAGGATTTGGATGTATTTTTCCTTCCACTTAGTGTGTCATATTTCTTTACTTTTTAAAGTCACTGGTGTTCTGAGTTGCTGCTGCAGTACAAATAAATAAGTTGAGGTGGAAGGTTTACAATTCTTTCAGAATTGACTGCTGTTTAAACGTTCTTGCACAATAGTGTTTTTAAATCTGGGATAGAGTCTGTTTTACCTTTTACACGTGATTTGACAATAATTTCTTTAGTTATACTTTTTTTGATTGAACCAAGGTGAGACAAACTAATGAAAATGCATTCTAGTCCCACAGCTTTAAGAGGTTTGGTAACAATCCTGTTCTTAGTGATGAGCAGGCAGCTGTTCCTTCCAAAGTGTATGTACCATCATTATTGTAGCAATCTGAGTGGTAGTGACTCAAGAGGTGATGCAGACTGCTTGCTTTTTTTTCCCCTGGACTCATGGAACATGTATGATATGTTCTTAGTTATCACCTATCTGAAGAGTAAGTGTTGATGCCACTTTAACCCTTGTCTCTGTCTGTCTGTCTCTCTCTCGCTCTCTTTTTTTAAAGAAACTATAACTAGTCCTCTGAATTTAAATCAATATATATGCCATCTGGACTAAACTGAACAGTGTTTTTAACACATAACTAATTTCCTCTACTCACCTTAGTGGAGCAGATAAGTGATTTCAAATAGTGACTTCAAAGTTATATGGGAAGAGTTCTAAACAGGAAGCTAAACATGAAATAATCGGGTCATGAAATGTAACTATTGGTGTTGACTTTTATAGTGGAAAAACCAAGGCCAGAATTGGATCCAGCCTGCCAGTTCAGTGTGTAAGAATGCAAAAATGAATTTTAATGTCTGTATTTTGAGCTTTATTGGAGGTGTAGTTTAGGAAAGTCTCCTCAAAATAGCCTTGGAAACTGATTCAGTTTTTTAATTTTTCAGAATATAATTTCTTTTGTAAATTCAAGAAATCCAAGTAGTGCTGAACAAACTGATAAGTATTAGTCATCTAATAGAGGTGGTTGTATAATTAAAGAAGGAACAGAGCTGTGTTTTGATGTACTTAGTGTAGGAAGATAGGGACAGTCTGAAAACAGGACATTTCCTCAAAAGCATGTTTTCTAATAATACTTTTCTGCCACAGTTAGGGGTTTGAATTCTAATATAGTTTTTAAAAATACTAGAGAATATACTGTTCCATATTGAACCAAGTTACCATGTACCTTCCTTGGCCTTTAAAAATGACAGAGGAGTTTAGAATAATTTATTTCAGCAAAAGTTAAACTAACTTTGAGTGGGTAGTGTGTACAAGCAACACCTGGGCCTGAGGCAGGGGAAGAAGAAGAGAAATGATTGGCTGTCATAGAGTCAAAAGTGAAAATACCAGTTATGAACGCAAGCACTATTAGTCATACTATAATGGCATTATGCAAGGGAATATCTAAACATTAGAAAAAATTCTTAAATCTCCTGGGGACTGATCATACTAGAGAACTATGACCCATTTATGATAGTCTTTCAGTTCCTTGTTGCCACTGTTCATAGTAAATGTTGTATTTTAACTATGTTGTTGGGGACTCGGATAACTAGAATTCATTCTGTTTCTTGAATATTACCTTGTTCTACCCAATAAAAACAATTTTTTTTAAATGAAACAAATCTTGTTTGTTTTTCTGTTTCCTTACCAAAAAAATGTGAACAAGGCCAACTTGTTATCAGAAAAAAGGATTGCAAAATAAAAAGGCTGTCACTTTGCCCTCTTAAGGTTTATTCTTTTTTTCTTTTTTCCTTGTCCTGTAAATAGTCTTTAATAGATGTTGCAGTTTGGAGAGTTTTCTTTCATATAATTGGGAGGAACTGATTAAATAAAATACTTCTGGTCTCTCTTGCTTTCAGACTTTGGCAGAGAAATATGGTCGGCCCCGATCCTAAGTGTGTATAATATGGACGTGTTGAAAACACAAATGATTGTTACACCAGTAGAGGGCATCTTTTTTTTGGCAGGTGTGATGCAGATTAAACCCCATACCATCACAAGTGGCATTCTGATCCTCTTACTCTGCATGCTCTGCTGCTCTGCTTTGTGCTCCCCACACTGTCTACCACTGTGCTGCCTGCCCCCTCCCTAATCCATTTGCCGCACAGAGGTTGCCCATGCCACTTGTGGCACTCCTGCTGCAGATGGCTACCCTTGCCAAAAGATCATGGTCTTCTGGCGACATAGTACTTAGAAATTTTGCAATGATTTAATTATGGTGATAAGGTTACCTCACAAAAATATCTATCAGCTAGAGAGTCTTGTGTTAGGAAGCAATTCTTCAAAACGTGTTGTTTTACTCCCTTCTGAATTCCTTTGTCTGTTTCTGGTATTGTCACTTCCATCTGATATGTGCTTTATGATGTATATATGTATTTTAGCTGAAAGCAACAAAGTACTTTAATCTTAAATAAACAAACTAACAAGTGATAAAATTTCCAATAGTGGCTGCTAGTAGTTGCCTGCTGTGTATTGTCAGATTGCACGAGAGAAGAGAATGGTTTGGCTCTTTTAGGCACTTCTTTACAATATGTAGAAAAACAAGCTATATTAATGTGGAGATCCCTAACCCAAGTTACTTGCTGGCAGTTTCACATGGCAAGTAAAAGAATTCCAAAGATACTTTCCTACAAGAGAAATTTCCAATTCAGTGTTGCATCCAATATGGGGGATAGCTAGATTAGACCTCATCATGACTGATAAAGAGGAATTGATCACAGAATTGAAAAATTAGCAGTTAGTTAGACACTTGATAGCATTTGTTGTGTGCGAATGGAATGAAATCTAAACGTATTAAGTATACTTTGTGCTTTTTGAAACACATTCCCTTACATTGAAGGCAGTTATAAAGAGAATTAAAGAAGAGAGAGATGAATAACTGGGAATGTTTTACCAGATGTTCAAAAAGCTGCAGTCCCATAAATGAAAAGGCTGCACAGGTTAAAATTAGCTTGGAGTAAAGGCTGTATTGAAGAGTTCCCAAAAAGTGGTCTCAGAAGCTCTTTAGAACATGAATGTTGATTCTCCTTCCCCT